AACTAGACTGCTTACAGAATTAACTGCAGTTCCCTGAGTGTCCACTTGAGGCTAGCTGCAGAAGCACTGTAAACCACACACATACATTAAAGGGATATTCTGGCGTAAAATTAACTTAGGGTCAAACACACCGTAACATTGAGTGCGACACCCCCTTGAGAGATGAACGTTGCCAAACACTTGTTTCTCTACCAACTTGAGCAACGACCGCACGATAGCAATACACAGTGGTCTGAGGAGCCACACGCTCAACCAAAAAGCCACTCTTTAGCCACAAATAATGCTCAGAACAGCACCTAACTTCATCAACAGTACATATAGGGTCCCAGCCATAGTACTAGCCACCAAACATCTTTCTAGCTTTGCCTGATTTCTTTAGCAAAGAGACTAAACACAACTCACCTACTCTCCTCCAGCAGCCGCTTGTTTGTGGGGGAAGCCCTGACAAGTCGATCACCAAGTGCAGCGGAGTTTCGCAGCTCAAGGAAGAACATTTATGATCATTACTTCATGGAAATGCAATCAGAGTTCTTGTGTATCTTGTTTGTCAGATTATGGCTGTTGATATTTAGTGCTGGTTGGGAAATGAGCGCTTCTTCACCTTCCTGCTGTCTCCTCATTGTACATAAGATAAACAATCGCGTTTGACTTCACGTTAAATCTCGCGTTTGTTTACGTGAGTTTCCCCTGCAAATACATAAAGTTAAAAATGCTCATTTGCGCTCATAATTTGACACCATAATATCCCTTTAAGCCACATTAGCCTGTTTTTAGGGCTAACATAAACACGTTCACAGGTCTTTTGGTTGAAGCACATCTTAAGCATGAATCCAAAAGAGCTCCTTCTAGCATCATTTAGTTTCCATATCTCCCTCTCTTGGCAGCTCAATACGGATAGTTGACATCATTGCGTCTGATGGAGCTCTTGTGCTCACTTCATTCTTCCTTCAACATACTGGTTGTCTTGTCTCATGAGGCTTTTTTTCAGAACCGACTCTTTGGTGAGCCGTATTTTCTCCATACGTTCTCTCCAGCCTTGTTGCGTAGAGATCTTCTTCTGCATCCAAGCCCACACAGTGCACATGTAAGCATCCCCCCTTCTGTCAGTTTACACAGAAATAATTAGACTGACTTGTGTCCTTTTGATCTTGCAAGAAAGTGAATTTGTGGACAGTGTTTTGAACATGCTTAAAGGAGTCTTCTGACAGCTACGTCGATCCTTTTCCTGTCCCTCCCAGATACTCGTCTATCATCTCTTTTGGCGTGTTGTCTTGTCCGTGAAAAGTGTTGCCTTGAAGTCTCAGCGATGGTCGTTGGCTTTGTATGTAATCTTGTCAGGAAAAGCGATGCACTTGCTTGAAAGGGCACCACTGATCTCGTTGACAATAGAAGCAAAATAACGAGCAGGCTCTTCGCAGCCTCTTGCCACTTCAAAACCTCCTGTCTAATGGGTCGGTGGAGAGGCTCGGTTTGCCAACAAGGTTGCTGGAGGAGGAAGAGGAAGAGGAGTAAAAAAGAGGGGGGAAAGAAAACTGAAGGAGAGTTCACGGCCCAGATGCTCTCATGCCCGGCTGTTTCTATTTTCCTTCTCTCTTCCTAAAGCCTCCCAGAGTTTTCCAATCTGTTTTGTAGCCGGGCATGCTATTATGCTCCCAGTGTTTATCTGACATCATGAAGGGGGTTTCAGCTTCCCTCGATCCACTGACAGCTCAAACCTCTTCAGAGGGCAAACACACAAGCCAACTCGGCAGATGACAAAGTGCTGCTGAGCCTGTCGGCAGAACCACGCGGCTCCCAGCGTGCTTTGCCCCCAGCACGTCACCTACCTGGTCTGGCACCGTCTCAGCCCCGTAGACCAACTCATTATTCACTTTGACAGGGGTTTTATGACCCAGCAGCTACGCCCGGACCGGTTCCTGGAGCAGATGCTTAAATCTGTAGCTGTTGCAGTGTTATCAAAACTGCAGTTTCTACAAAACTCTACTGTAAATAAACTAAAAAGAAAAAATCTAGATCCTTGTTTATTTGAACATAACAACAGCCTTCGGGTTAGCAGACAAGCCAGAACTCCAAAAACTGGACCACACAAGGGAAGAAGTTGGATTGCTATGCTGTAGGGGGGGTTGGGGTTAAGAGAAAGCCGGGAAAGAACCTATTAATGCACCACACACATGTGCCTGCAGGTGCATACTGATCAGCGCAGCGTCACTGAGCTCAGGATGATTCACCCAGGCTTTTATTTTCATGGAGTCTCACTTGTAGAGCCACCCTGCCACCGCTTTGGTCACGAGTCTCCTCATGAAACACTGTATAAACAGCCTGTTGCTAAGGCCTATGGCAAAACAAGCCCCAAATGTTGATCACAGGCAGAGTGGGGGGGTTGCTTTCTCTCAGTATATTTTTCTCCTCCCTTTAAATCAAATGAGGTTTGACCTTCGCGTCCCTGGAATACAAAACAGGCGAGACAGAGGACCCCTGTTTAAAGCCAGATCTGAATAGGGGTTGCCACAGCTTGCAAACTAACAGTATCAGCACCCTGCACCGTCCCAGATAAGCACAGTCGGCTAAAAAAGAAAGAGATACATATGTTTACCATCCTTATACTCCGCTGCATCAGGGAAAAAAATGTTAAGGACACCAAAAAATGGCTGACCTTCAAAATGCTGCAGCTGCTGGACAAAATAATCCGTACTTTTTATCAGATCTCTGAGGGCCGAGTCCGACTGAAAGCAGCATTGATATTCAAATGAACCTTATCAAGACATTTCAGTGTTACTTGCCTGAAAGGAATTGTTGCACCATACTGCTGTATCAAAACATCAATATAATAACGAACAGTCCATTTGATATCCTTTTTCATCGCCCTTCTGATGTAACAAGGATTTAAAGAGGTTTATTGTCATGCTAGAGAATGAAAATGAACAAAATTAGGTGCTCAGATCCATCTGTGGGTCTATCCATCCATATTCGCTTGCTTTTGGTATCGATCCAGATATATCTCTCTCTTTCTCTACGAAACTTTACCCAGCTCCACCTGAGGCGTTTCTGGGTTGGATGGGATATGTAATCCCTCCAGCAACCTCTGAGTCTACCCTGAGGCCTCCTCCCAGGAGAGCCTCAACATAAAGATACAACAATATCAAAACCCCCAACTCCAAAAAAAAGTTTGTAAAAAGTTAAGGAATGTGGGGGTTTAATTCAGGTTACCCATCTGAAGTCAGTAAATGAATGAAACACTCCTCGTGCGTGTGTCTGTGAGCCACAGGAAAGGAAATAGAAACAGATGTTTGAACCTAAATAAAGCATCAGTAACAGGACTCAACAGTGCAACCGTTTCACTCGCATGAGGTTAGTTTTAGGTTGGATATCTGACGCGCATTCACCGTGGATCTACTGCTGTCTTCTCACTCTCCATAACTGGGAATATTGACATCAGTGTTGTTAAATCTACTCGTCACTCTCGCTGTCAATGTTGGGTGTTGAATAAGGGACCGTCAATAAATTACCAGTTGATGTTCTCAAAACAGGCTGTTTTCTTTCAATGGCTTCCATGTCATGTGACCAATTGACCTAAAATTGATTTTAAATAATTGTACTTAGGTCAGACGATAAGACACACCTCTTTATTTCCCTAATTTGTCCTCTAAAAAAATTGTGTTAAATTTAAAGGCAAATTTTGACCATTTTCTTCACATGGTTTCCATGTCATGTGACCAAAAGACCGAAAAATTGATTTGAAATAATAGTACTTATGTCAACCAACAAGACACGTTATTTGATCAATTTTTATTGTGCCCCTAAAAGTCTTGTGTGCGCTTTTAAATAAAATGTATTATTATTATTATTATTGTGAAAAAATGTTGGCGTCAATCCCTGGTTGAGGCAAGTTGCTTTAAGTGAAAGAGTTCAAGTATTTTTGGGTTTTGCTCACAAGTGAGGGTTAAATGATCATGAGAATGACAGGGGGGGTTGATGCTATGTTAGCAGTGAGACTGGTGTTGTACCTGAAGAGGGAGCTGAGCTTTAAGACCAAAGGCTCATTTATGCTCGCCATACGTATCAGAATGTATGCGTCCGTTTCAAACGATTGTTCCGTCACTGCCCACATACTTCCATGCATCATTTATGTTGGCATGGATATTAACCATTACATTCACATGGGTGCAGGTCAGAGTTAAACGTTTCTGACAACAACAAACAAAAAGAAACATGGCGACTGTGGAGACACTAGTGATAATGTATATTTTGCATTGGAGACAGAAACGGAGGCAGCGTTGGAGGGTGGTGGTCAGTCAGGCCACTTAATGCCGATGAGAAAAATTGATGACGATCCTCAAAAAGCCCCGCCATTGTCTTTTTCGTTTCTCTCTGGAGATGCGTATCGGGTAGTGACAGTAGCAACACTGCCCCCATGGTTTACGGTGGTACTGCTCTGTGTGGCCCATATCTGCAAACTTCAAGGCTACGTGCAGAAGTACGGCAAAAAGAACGCAAAGCATGAATGGAGAGTTACGTCCATATCCGGATCCATATGTAACGTTGACCATAAATGAGCGTTTCATTTTCCAGTTAATCTATATCCCCACCCTCTTTGGTCGATGCAAAAGAATGAAATCCTGGATATAAGCAGCAGAGATGAGTTTCCTCCAAAAGTGGGAAGGCTTAGGAATAAAGGAGCTCAGACATCTGGAGCTAACTTGGAGTAAAGCCGTGACTCCCTCACATTAAGAGGAACCAGTAAAGGCGGTTCAGGCGTCTGATCAGGATGCCCCCCCTTTAGAGGTTTTCTATGTGTATCCAACTGGGAGTAGACCTGAGGTAGACCCAGAGCTGTCTGGAGAAATCATCTAGTATTGGAGTACCTTTCTGGGAGTTTGGAAAACAGGTTGACTTGATTAGCCTGCTGCCACTAAAAGGCAATGGAGGTTAAAAACAAGTGGCTGCATTGATTGAAGAGAGGCCGTACTCTAGTTCTGTCCTGGACCTCAAACAGAGTCTTTTTATGGTCTCATTTCATCAGCACCAGTGAAGAGCATGTTTTTAATACCCGGGGTTTCCAGTCTTGTTACCGCACATCCTCCCGCCAGAGGAAAGAGGGCTGAGGAGTCCATTCGTTGGTGACGGAGATCCTTTATGATGAAGGTGGCTTTATTCGTGCACCTTCTGGTGGAAATGTTCTCCATCCTGTCTTTATAGGAAATGTATTGAATAGCTGTGACTGACGTGGCCGGATTGAGTCAGAAAAACAAGACTACCACTTTGCTTCTTGGACATTGTTCGAAAATGTGTCTCCCATCAGGTGTACCACTTGTGTTTTAAAAGGACAAAGGAGGCAATTTTCGATGTACCATGGAGCTCTCTTTGTATTTCTTTTGAAAAAGGCTTTTGTTCCGGTGTTATTTCACACGTATGAAAAACTGGTATGCTCATTTTAATTCTGCTTAAGTGAGAATGTAAGAACCAGCACACCTTTCTTTTGTGGAGAGTGGAAGCTGTGTGAACTTATGTGGCCAATAAACGTTGTATTTCTCAAGCTCCATGTGAACGTAGGACATGTATCCACTCGGCCATTAGGGTTGAATACATGACAGTCATTGGTTTTCCGATACAAAACCGCTTCAAGGAGACCCATGGAGACATTTACTTAGAGGAATGAGATCAGTTTCTACAACTAGCGTTATATATTTGAATGGTATCCATGGCAACATGTGTTATTGAGTTTAGTCCCTGAGAGTACAAGAAGTAGAAACAGTAAGGAAGACTTATTGCTTGAGTGTTGTTGAATGGTCTTCTACACAGCTGTGACCGCAGTCTTTACATTCATAAACACTCGGGTTTGTTCATGCATGTATAGTCCAGAGAAAACAATAACCTGCTGTGAGTGTGAGTGTAAGTGTGTGTGTGGGTGTGTGAATGTGTACAGTGCCAGTAAAAGGCCAGGCCAATCGATCAGCAGGAGCTTGACAGCTGTAGTCAAAGACCGCGTTTCGGCTCTGTGCTTTACGCTCCGTGGGCTTTCTGTTGCGTGGTTGTTCTGTTGGGGAATTCAGATGTTCAGATGTGCAGACGGAGCTGTTGAGGACAAGGATTTCAGGGGTGCTGTCGGTAAATGAATTACTCACTGTGAATACCTGAATTTGTTGTGAGGCTGCACCTTACATTTGACAAGCAAGGCCTCAAGATCTGACTTTTCTCTTTGAAACAAAACCCACTTAAATCACATATGCTTTTTATTTTTAAAAAAATTACAAATTAAATTTTATCTTTTTCACTTTTAATAATCAAAAACTTTACTAAAATGTTTCAGTCCAAATTCAAAGCATTGTTATTTCAGTTTACATTTAAAAGCCAATTACTTTGGATTAAATCTGGCATGATTTCCAGTTTAGGTCAATCTATACAGTGTTGGAAAAAAGTTTGGAATATTTTCTTCAGTGTTTCGTGTAACGTGAATGATCCTCTAACAAACGTGGCTGAACTGACTCAGGCTGTGATCCAATGCTGGCGAGAAATCCTGGTTGAAACTCTTACCAACCTAGTGACCAGCATGCCCAGACGTGTACGCGCATTGTACAATGCTAGAGGCGGTCACACAAAGTACTGACTGTATTGTTGTTATCGTCTTGTTATGTTTGATGTTGCTTTCAAAGATGGTCCACGTATTTTGTGGCAATTTAAAATTACAGCCGTTTATTTATTAAATACCGACTCATGATTTTATGCGTTATTTCTATGGCTTTTTGTGAATCATGAGGTGTCCGCCCTACAATTTTTTGAGAAACAAAATAGTTTGATGTGAATTTCAAAAACATATCACAGAGACCAGGGAACATTAAAAAGTCTTTGAATAATTCTCCAGAAAGCAGCAGACCGCGTTAAACACGAGGCTGGGGTTGAATTGACAAATATTCCAAACTTTTTTCCAACACTGTACTTAAAAAATTCTTCATGGAAAGGTTCAGTCTGTGCATGCAGTTATTGACTTTGTTTCAGAAGTGGTCTGGTTTCAGGGTGTTGGTTTTTAGCCAAGGTATATAGTAGATTCATAGTGAAAGTAGTATTGACCAGTCATGTGTTAGCAGATATTAGCGTCTGTTGGAAAACAGTAACGACCTGTTATCAGGTTGTTTCAACTTGAACATCCAACTTACCCATTACTACCTGGATTACATGTTTCAAAATTTACTCAGTAACTTGTGCAAAACCAGTAAGATATATATACATGACACAGCAGTCCGAGGGCCATTTTAACAGGGTATCCGCAGGGTCTCAAAGAGTCTTAAAACGTCTAAAATCCAATAATTTGAATCTAAGGCCTTAAAATGTCTAAAATTCTCTTAAAATGTCTTAAATACAATTTTGATAGGTCTTAAAATGTATTAACTCTACTAACAAATAAATAACTTACCATAAGAATATAGATTGATTCAAAGTAATGTAAAATGTTCCAATTTCCCTTCATGTCTTTTGTACTTTTTTGCCAGTATGGATGTTAAATGGATCTTAAACTGTATTTCTTACGGTCTTTAAAAAGTCTTAAATTTGATTTGTTGAAACCTGCAGAGACCCTGTTTAACCCAGCAGTTGGGAAACTCTAGTCTAGTTTTGGCTGCTTGAGTTTAGATTAGGGGAGTTGATTTGGATCTTTTTGTTGCATCGGGTCATGCAGATTAGTTCAATAATGTTATAGTTTAAGTTAAGGCTTAACAGCTTTACTTTTATTTCGCATTCAAAGCTTTGGGAGAAAAATAGTCGCCTCTGCAGTTTGTGTACCTGTTTGGTAAATGCTAACTCCAATATGAATAATAATAGATTAGAGGGTTTTTTTGTCTCTGTAAAAACAACAGCTGTACACAGAGCAGGTTAATATAGAAAAATAACAAAATAATAGTTATTATATCAGAAAACTAAGGAGAAGGTGTTCCTGTTCTGTATCGGGTAGAGTCAGTAAGTTGTCAGTCAAATAGTATGCTCACGCAGGATTGAGAAATAGTCTCAACCGCTAAAGTAGCTTTTATGAAACTGCATTTTCTTGTTCTGCTTTATTATATTTCCCTCAAATATCATTGGATTCTCAATGAGACTCCTAAACTGATATCATGGGTGCATTTTAAGCATTTCAGGCTAATTTTGCTTAGATTTTAATAAAGCTGTCAAAGACAATGAAGAAACAAGTATGACGAAAAAGACATTTTTACGGTCAAGTCAACAGCCCCAGACCAGATTGATGTTATTAGCTTCCTGTTATCACCAGAAAATGAAAGCCTTGTTCCAGCCTTTTTTTCTAAAGACAAGAACAAGCCCCTGCTACCTGATGTCTTTTATGATCACATCAGCTGAGCAGTGAACTGTGAGGTAAATCTCACAAGTACAGTCTACAGTCGGGCAGACTCAGTGGAAGTCCACACAGAGCGCGCTCCAAATATCCGCATGAGAGCCCTTTCAGACTAGATGAATTTTGGCAAAAGGCCTGCTGTAACCCCTCTGCAAAGCCCGCCAGTCAGCAAGTCTGGGCGAGCGTGGACTATTGGATTCAGCACGTCTTCTCTCTTTACGCCCTCGAGTTGTCTGACTGCATCTGAAGCCTGGAGGGATGGAAGCAAGAGGCCTGGGCAGAGACGCACAGCTTGAGTGAGAGACTTTAATTTTGTGCCACAGATTCCGTTAGTTGGAGTGACAAGCTTTGTGGTTTTTCTCCTTGAGGGCTGGTGCTGTAGTCACTGATTTTTTTTTTTTTTCCTTTTGGATTTACAGTGTATTTTTAAAAGAAGATGAATGGAATATTTCAGCCTTTGAGGTTTTTGGGAGTAAAATAATATCCTCATCCTCAAGTTTGGGAGCTGTGTAAACCGTCATTAAAAGTAGAATTTTATATTTTGCAGTTAATTTTAACACAAGAAACTATAATGTGTTATTAACAGCTAAGGGCCTCCTTTGTTAGATTTTTCATATCATGATGCGCCGAATGTTTTTTTTAAGAGATGAGAAGTCAGGGTTGCAGGCGGGTCATTCAAGCACTTGGACTCTTCGACTATGGAGCCAAGCTGTTGTAGAATGTAGTTTGACATTGTGTTTTCAAAATATGCAAAAATCTCCCCTAAAAAAAGTCACAGCCTGGACAGCATTGGAATGAAAAAAATCTGTCTACCATTCTGTGTTTTCCAGATGTATTAGCTACTCATATCATTGGCGCATAATTGTATTTGAACTGTCAGACGGACCCTCTTCTTTCTGAGCACAGGATGTGGCATCCATGATTTCAAAAAGAGCATCAAATTTTCACTTAACCTAAGTCCATTTTAAATGATCCAATAGAAGTTGCCTGTAGGGCTGGGCGATAAACCGAAAATTTACCGATACCAAAATTTACGACAATAACCGACATCATTTTGCCCATGTCAATATATTCAGCAGCAAATAAATAAATAAATAAAAGTTGGTTTTGGATGTGTGTAGGTAGGCTATGGATGTGATTACATAGCCTACCACCCCATCCAGTCTATAACAAAGAGGGAAAGACAGCTGAGGAGATGGAGGACGGTTCAAAAGTTGTAGCGGCTGGAGCGGCGGCTGAAGTAGACGAAGTTAATGTGGGAGGGGGTGAGCAGTTTGTGGAGTAGTTATCGTCCATTTATCATTATCGAGGTGAACTGCTCAATATATTGTGATATTGATTTGAGGCCATATCGCCCATCCCTAGCCACCGGTGCTCCTGGATTATTAAATTTGGATAAATGATAACCTTCACTGAAATTTCCCCAAAATTTATGTAATGGCCTCTGGTTGTTAAATGGGGTCATTACACCTAAAACATATTTTCCCTAAATTTTGAAGGTAAAAGTTTAGATCTAAAACAAAAAAAGCATTAAAATATGGTAGGATTTTAGCTTATGACAAATATGTGGTTATAATGGGAGTCAATGGGGTAAATTTTGTCACGAAGTTAACAAGTGTTGGTGTGATGCAAATCTCCCATTCTAAACACTTCCAATAGACGGGCTTTTGGAATTAAGAAAATAAAAATGAAAAAAAATTAGTGCCAAAATTTCATACAGCTAGCTTTTAAACTGACTGGTTCACTGAGAGACGAAAAAAAAAAAAAAACACACACACCCAAAATATCACTTTTTGTCCCCAAGATGCTCCGAGGGTTAACCTCCATCCTTGGCCCAGTTTTACCCTCCTGTGTTCACAGATGAGGATTTCTGGGTCCATGCAGTGATTCCCACTTCAGAGTCATATCTAGGCGGAAAGATCATGGCAGGTGTTGGATTATGGAAATATCTCACCCCTTGAATATGAATAGACCCCTTCCTCTGATTACAACCATCATACAACAAACGTCTTTTAAACGATCACTTATAAGTTTTTGATTGTCAAATTCACATCCACCGTGTATTTCCAGCCTGCTTATTTTCTGTCTGAGCCCGGCTGTCAGACAGTTAATCAAACCACTCAACCCATCAAATTGCTCACCTCAAACCGAACACAATGGCTCTGTGCTGTGAGGACAAACAGCTCTGCTACTCATATACAAGTGCCGGGTTCCAGCCTCTCCGCTCTCTGTTTGCGTTTCCAGCAGCTTTGATTACCGCGCTCCAGCCCACTTGGCATCCCACATCACTGCAACACGTTGACAGTAGAGAGGGAGGAGGAGGAGGAAGAGGAGGAGGAGGAGGCGATGCTACTCTGTACGCCACCGTCTCTGAGGATAAGGCCGTCTGAAGGGGGGGGGGGGGGGAGACAGGGAAATGTGTAGCATTCACAGCGTGGTCTAAAAATAAACATGCTGGTGGCGTCAGGAGGTGCGAGTCGACAGCTTCAGCAACCTGACTTCTCATTAAGTGCTTCATCTAAACCATGTCCCCTGATAGCTCTGTGTAAATGTTAATATTTGATATTTATTTTGACCTAAACATGCTCCGTGAGGGCGTATTTTGCAGGTAATTTAATTGATGAATAGTAAGCTAAATCCGAGAACTGGAGCGGCTACATTTCCTGCTGCTATTTTTCATATACTAAAGAAAAAATGCAGTAAAAAAAGAGACCCTTTTGCTTTTTATTGTAGCCTGAATGCTCAACAATTTGGCCTTAGATTTATGTGTTAGCCGCTGTCTTCATCCTATCTCAATATAAAAGCAGTATGAGATGACTAAGTGCAGGGAGGGGTCATTTAGAGGTATGTATTGCTACAAAACAGAAAACCCCTCTTGAGAGCAGGAATTCAACCAGCAGACTCACAAAAGGCCACAGTGGGCCCATTTAGTTTATTATGACTGTAAAAGGAAACACAAATCCCTGAAAAAAGGAAACACCGTCATCCTGTGTGTTTTCTGTGTGTGTTCCCTAGTGTTCCTGTCCCCCTGTTGTCCAGTCTTGTGAGTTTTCAGTTTGTGTTTGACCCTGTTTCACTCATGGTCTCAGTGTTTTATTCCTCCGATCAGTTTTCAGTTTTTATTTCCTGTTTTATTTTGTAGTAGTTGATTCCTTGTGTTTCTAGTCTGGTTTTACTTCCCTTGTTTTCCCTTCGTTAATCACCCATGAGTGTCACCTGTGTCTCGTTAGCCTCACCTGTTGCTCGTTAACAGTGTGTATATAGTCCCTGTCTTCCCCTCTGTCCTTTTTGGTTCATTGTATGTCGATGTTTGTGCGCATGTCTGCCTGTTCCCCGAGTCCTTTGTCTGCTGGTGGTTTTTTTCCGACTGTCTTTTGTTTGGATTTTGCTTCTTGTGTTCTTTGAAGTAAGACAACCAGTTTGGTAACTTCCTTTAGCACCAATTTAGCCATCTCTACTTTTTTGTTAAACCTCTACTCATGGCTCATTTAATCCCCTTCTAGCTACAGACATAAGAGTGAATAAATGAATGTATTTCCCTGGTTGTTCTTTTTTAAGGGATATTCCAGTGAAAAATTAATTTAGGGTCAAACACACTGTAACACCCAGTCAGACACCCCCTCCAGAGATGAATGTTGCTGACCGCTTGCTTCTCTAGTTATACCAACTTTAGTGATGACCGCACGATAGCAATACATAGCGGTCTATGGAACCACAATATTTCTTCATGGAAATGCAATCAGACTGAGACACTAAGGCAGAAAAACTACCATGTCTGCAGTGCAAAATGGTAAATATGGTGATTATTACTTCAAGGAAATGATAAAGTAATGATCATAAATGTTCTTCCTTGAGCTGTGTCACCCCCGTGTAGTCCGTAATGGACTCGCCCAGAGGTCTCCATACAAACAGGCGGCTGCTGGAAGAGAGAAGGTGAGTTGTGTTTAGTCTCTTTGCTAAAGAAATCAGGCAAAGCTAAAAAGATGTTTGGTGGTTAGTGCTGTGGCTTGGACCCTATATGTACTGTTGATGAAGTTAGGTGCTGTTCTGAGCATTATTTGTGGCTATAGAGTGGCTCTGTGTATTGCTATTGTGCGGTCCTTACTAAAGTTGGTATAACTAGAGAGGCAAGCAATCTGCAACATCTCTCGACGGGGTGTCTAACTCTGTGTTATGGTGTGTTTTACCCTAGCTTAATTTTTACGCCGGAATATCCCTTTAAATGAGGTTCGACCCCTGAGTTTTAGGAACTTCCTCAGTTTGCTAAAAGGCCGATTATAGCAGTTAGAGTCTCTAAATGCATGTTTACCAAAAAGATTCAGGGGTCTAAGTGTTGTTGACCAACCTTCATGGAAATATCAGTTTTTCAATCTTCTCTGTGATACTGGAGGTTAATTTTCCTGCCGTTTTCATTGACTTCTTGAGTCAATTTCTAATTTCAGGACCCTTTTTCCGCCCTATAGAAATGATTGTCAGAATAGCAAACACTCTCAATATTTAAGGGGTGAGAAGTTCACCGTGACTTGAACTCTTAGTCCCACCCAAAGGCTTCTAACTCACCCCTGGGTGGCCTCACATAGCCATTACCCAGCTCAGTCTGTGTCTCCTCCTCCTCCTCCTCCTGCTGTAACCGGACAGAAGGGGACATCTGGGATGACACTGTGAAGCAGATGCAAAGAGTCCATTATGTTTGCCCCCCTCAGCGCCATGGCCATATTTCCTCTGTCAGCGTAACCACGAAGATGAGATTCTAAGGGAGGCGACCAGGAGCTCGGCCTTGTCTTGGGTGCAATCTGTTCTCAAACTGGGGCGGGAATATACACACATACACATGGAGCACCGCGCCGTATGGACACACCACATAATGAGGGTCGTTAATGTGTCGGTGAAACGTGTGATTGACAGGTGGCGAGGTTAGCCGAGCAGCGGGTTCACCCACAATCTCGAGAGATTGAGATGGCGGTGTCACGGCCACCTGAGCAGAAGCACGCCATCACGGTTTTTATGATGATGCGCAGGTGACAACGTCTGAGCTCTTACCTGGCGTGACCCATCCATCCATCCGTCCATCCACGTGAGATTCCTAAAGAAATTGTTTGGCTTCTTCATGTAAAGTTTAAGAAGCTTTCCTGTCTCTCCTCTTGCGCCGCAGTATTATTGATGCCATTTTCGTCCTGTCTGTTCTGCTTGGTTTGAAGTTCTTTCATGGCTCAATATGATTATATTAGGCCCCTTTCTCCCAGGCAGAGGAAAAGAGGAGGCACTTTCTGAAGGCAGATACCTGGAAATACGGCAGACACTTCTCTTTCAAGGGGGTACTTTTAGCTCTGCGCATCCACGCATCTTCTCTGTCTGAGAACAATCATGAAGATGAATGGCAAACTTAGCCTCCTCCTGAACTCCTGCTTTTAATAATTGGCGTTCTTTGACAGCAGCTCATACATTATAGAGGACTGTTGTTGCATTAGTGAGCAGGTGGAGCAGGCAGCATAAATATATTGACTTTTGAATCAACCTCCAGGCGAATGATTGAACGGTGGAGAAGAAGTTGTAATAGTTTTTTAGTGTTGCGTGATTTGCGAGTGAAGAGATGTTTGTTGCAAATACGCGGAGCTGAAGTCTGTATATCGTGGTGGATCAGCAGGGTACGGTGTTTCAGTGGATGGAGTAAAATCAGCTCTTGATGTTCAGAAGAAAGGAAGAAGAGAAAAAGGCGGATTATTAAAGGCTTGTGTTATGCCATATGATAAGGAAGTTGATGGAACGACTGTTTCAGGAAAACTGTGTTCATTGCTAGTTAATAAACATTTATGCTGTATTTAGTACATGGTTTGGCAGAGCACTAAGCTTGAAAGACTAGTTGTGCACTTTTGACGGGTTTGTCGACGTCTTTGGTTTAGAGTTAGCTGTTAGTTGTAAGTGTTAAGTCCTCACATCCTTTGTACCAACTGTGCAAAAGTAAAAAGTTCAAACTTAATTTCTCATTTAGGACTAATTTTACACTCATGTTTTAATGAAAGAGGATTAGGGCCACAAGAAGATAAAAAAATAATTACAGGAGGGGGATTTTTTTAAATTTCTATTTCGAGATTAAAGTCGAAATGACATAAATCGCATTTTGCACAAAGGCGGCAGCTTCCTCCAAGTTTTTTCTCCTGTCGAGTCATAATCTTCAGCAGTCTTTTCAGAGTTTGAATACTTATGACCACACTGTGTCTGTGTGCTAAAAGAGCAAGGATTTCCTTGTTACTAAATCCAATTCTAAAGTAAAGCTTTACAAACTGTTCTACCAAGGACATATTGTCGAGTGATGAATTTCACCTTTATTTGCGTCGACTTTGATCTCAAAATTTGGACTTCAATCTCAAAATTTTGATTTAATTCACGAAATTTTGACTTCATTCATGTTAACTTTAATCTCTAAATTTCGACATTGTTCACGACATTTCAACATTTTGTGATCTCAAAATTTAATCTTGAAATTTTGTCTTTTTGTCTTTAATCTCCACCCTGTATTTATTTATATATTTTCTATTCATGTGTTTCTTTCGTACATTTGAGGTGCTGCACTGGCTTAGACATTTTCAATGTAGGCCTAAATTACAACCTTAATCCTACACCTGGCTCTAAATAATCATCTGTGATTGTTCTGGTTGTCATTCTAGAAGCTTGGATGATATTGAGGAAGAGGAGAAACAGAGGCTTCATGTGTTGTACATTGACTATGATCTGCAGTAAACATTAACCATTTCTTCTCAAACCAAGCTAACTTCCCCTCTGCTTTTAGAGAGTGCAGGTTTAAAGAGCCAAACTTCTGTTTTTCTGGCCTCCAAAACTTTATTTCCCTCTGTCAATGTCAATGAAACATTGTCTCCTTTGATGAATCAAACTTTAGCGAAATCAAAACTGCCTCCGAATATCAGTTCAAACTTTTTTGTAAGCCGTACCTACCTCATACCTAGTCCAGTCCTTGGCCATGACCTGAAAACCAATTTCGATTTCGAACAGAACATGTCCCCCATTAATCCTGCAATGTTAAAATTTCATTTTTAATATAGGACTCTTGTATATCTAGCTTTCAGCAAACCAAGCAGTCATAACTTTTGCACAAACATTTAGCCTTGCTCTTTATTAGAGCTGCAAATCAATGTCTGTGCGAGCGTTTGGCCGCTCTACCTGAACTTATTAGGCCGAATCTGTTATGACAAGTGGCAGACTGATATTTTAAAACATTTACAGACGTAGATAAAATGATTGAGCTGTAATAAATCTTGTTACTTTAGGCTGCATTTGGGAGAGAAATAAATGAATGCCTCAGTGATTACACACAGCCAAATTAATGTTCCTTCTTGTCAGCTTACAGGAAAATGGAAAAGCTTATAAAAACATAAACAGCAGAGCAAAATCAATATTACAACAAATATTGAATGCATTTGGATTCGGATCACTGAGCCATTTCAACATGGCAGCCACTTTTCTGGAGTTTAACTGTGTTTTCAAGTCGAGTTTATGACAGGGATATGCTTTATGAGCACTTACTTCTTCTTTTAAAACTCCGGACAGTTAGAGGAAAAGAGTGGTTCAGTTTCTTATCCGTCTCTTATTGTTTCCATCGAGTTTTTTAAAGGGGCAAGTAATTGAAGGTGAAGAATGAATTAGCAAGAAAAAAAGAGGAGAAGCTTGTTTCATTCGCCAAGTTACAGCAGAGGCTTATGGCCTTGTCTGCTTTTCTAAATCATATCAATTAGTTTCATATCTTTTTAAAAACTGCTCACCGTGGGGTCAAGGGAATCCTTGTTTCCAATAGCAACCCTTTAAACACAAGGAGATGTTTCACAGTCAGGATTTTTCAAGCACAGTGACACCTTCATTAAGCTCATCTTTCAAGGAAACAGCGGCAAAACCAAACCATAGACTTCCTAGGTTAAGACGGCAAGTGGCCAAGAGAGTGGGGTGACGCAACTGGAGCTGGATTTTGCTCAGACACTGTGGGTCTGTGCCTGGAAATAATGATGCTGTGGCTCTAGGTTTCTCTTTCTTCATGCACCTCTGTTTGTTCAAAATCCATCTATGTAACACAGATCTTGCACATAAATTAGCCATGCACGTTTGACTAGCTATTAAAGGAACATTATTTCAATTTTTTTAGAGTTAAAGTCCTTTCACATCGGGACCATTTTTTTACGTGCGAATATTTCGGACGTCAATATTTTTATCCAACCCATATCCTGTCAATACAAGCGTTCACATCAGCGAATTTTTCCCGTCCTGCGATATTGCGGCATTTATTTTTTCAGGTCATGGTCGATATACTAAAGTTTCGCATACTGTGCGTCCACTTCTGAACAATCAGATTTTGTGTTGTTGCGACATCAGATTCACCGGTATATCCAACATGGCCAACTAAATTGTTTACGTGTCGGAGAACAGAGTGCTTTTTGATAAAAAACACAAATATTACAAAGATAATGACCTGAAGGACAACTTGTGGAGAGTCATAGCATCTGATCTCTCATATGACGATAGTTTGTGTGCTTTAACAGTTTGCTAAACGTCTTTGTTTTAACTTTCATCTGTGCTAATTAACTTTAGCTCGTAAGCTAACCTGTTCAGATACAACATACAATATGTATTTTCACTGTCTCAAACTCAATCAATTAGGTCTCGGTTGTTACCTTACGTTTATGGATTATAGTTTAATGTGCTTCAGTCCATGCTATCATGACAGACAGCCATCTCAACACTAGTGTCTAATCAGAACTGAAAAACAGTCGGTCTGCTGTTGTGTCAGTCTTCTCGCTTCCACCCAGGATGCGTTTTTCCCCCCCGGAAAGTCGCAAAATCGCATTGCGCTTGATGTGTATAGTCAGGCGCGTCAAAATTCGCCTCTGAATGTTTCGTAATTTCGCGTTCTATATTCGTGTCGGTGTGTAAGGACCTTTTAGAGAGGCTAACTCTTTGCAATCTTGATGCCAAATTGAGCAAACAGTGTTGTTTCTGTGGCTTGACATGTCTAATTATCAGCCTTCCGAACGAAAATCTGATGAACATCTTCACTCGTTCACCGCTTGATCAAGCGCCCAATTAATCTTTACTCTGTCGTTAAGCCAACTCCAACTGGCATGTGGTTTTCGGTCTTGTTTTCAGAAAACTGTCGCTCAGAGGGAAGTTGTAAAGCTGAAGCCCCAGCGTGCGGCTCAGAGGGCACATGATTGACATTTCAAAAGACCTCTGGAGCCACAGCCAGAGCCTAAAAGCTGCCGGATCTCAAGCCGTGTGAGCGACCCCCCTCAGATGCCCATCAATGCAAGGCTGTGTGTGAGTTGCACCCACGCCGGGCATCACCTGCTGTCAGGGAGACATTAACAAGGTGGGTTGTGCCCTGCCCTCTGCACCCAAACTGCTGCTCTTCACCCACTAGTTGATGTGCTGTTTCTTTTCTGTTGTGCTTAAAAGTGGATGAAAATTAATCACCTTAGACCCCTGATTCGATCCTCGACAGGTACCCCGCTCTGATTGGCTCCCACTGTGAGAGTCATTTAGCAGATAAAACATCCAGTTCAAGAAACAGACTTCCACCTGTTGCCCCAAGTCTTTCTTTTTTTTGTGTTTTTCTCCCCTTATCAGACGGCCTTTGGGGAAATTAACGGATGAGTTCATGCCGGCAACAGGGTTGCTATAGAAACTTCACATATAAGACTAAGGCTGGAGTTTGTCACCAGAGAGAAAACAGGAGAGAGGAAAAGAGACAAAGAGGCGGCTGTGTTGAACGCACACTGGAGAGGCATCAAAGGTGGAGTCATTTGCAACACAACATTGGTGCCATGCTTTATTTCCTGTCTGCTTTACCGCACCCTCGCTGCAATATCTCCTAAAACCATCACATCCTCAGCAGGACACCTAAGGGGAACCATTTCCTTTACATTTCCAAAATAAGATCACGTAATTTTCTTTTTTAGTCTTAGGAAATATATCAGACTCACTTCCTCTCAGCCTGTGTGCTTTTGTTTCACATAATCACTGTGGAAATGGCAAATTTTGGATGAACTGTCCAGCTGTGAGCACAGTGTCAGGGTACACGCTCTGTTATTGAAACGCTGAGTCCATATTGATCAGGTGATCTGTTACTGGCCCCTAGTGGTTCAGGTCAGAACTAGAAATGCAGTTTCACAAAAGCAGATAAACCGCATGACACCTTTCTACACTACAGGGAGCTTTTTGAGGCAGAGAGGGGAAATTAAAGTCAATTTGAATTTGTTTTTATAGATTTGTTTTTATGGCTCTTTGGAAATGACTCAGAGTGTTTCATAAACACAGGGCAAAGACAAGACAGAAAATTAACAATATCAAACAAATTAGTGAAAATATGAGCAGTGTAAAGACGTGTAGACTTTTAGAAAAACAAAACATGACAAGAGCGGTCACATTTGATAGATTTACTTGAATTTTATATGTTTTCTGAAGAAGTCATTCTAACCTGTAACACCAGCAAAACTTTTATTTTGGCGGGAAGTCCAAACATGAATTTGCCTCATAACCAAACACGAACAACACAACTTCTTGTCACATCTTTAAAACTTTTTCAAAAGTTAAGAAGTTGTCGTTGCCTGTAAGTTGTTGCTTGTTAATCAAACTGGATTAATATTTTCATTTGTTTTATTTTGACGGGGAAGTTTTTGACGTTTTTCTGCCATATAACACAACATGAAGTGTGCAGAAGACCTGAAGTTGAGCTCAGTACTTGAGCTCAGAAGTTATTACCTGACGAGCAAAGTCAACTTTGAATTTACTTTTTTAAGGAAGTATTTACATTTATGCATTTATGTTTGAGTACAACACAGTTTTAACACACATGCATGATTGACATGTATAAAAAATAACAGTAGGGACAAAATGTTCAACCTCTTAGTCCTTTTTTTTCCCGTACAGCAGCATTTAAATCTATCATTACTGTAATTGAAAAAAGTGAACAACCATCTCATCTAATAGCGAGCAGGAAAGAAATTACACTTTTCTTTACTGCCCTCCTTTAAAGACATCACTTACGCTCCTTATAAAATCTATTTTCAGTTTAAGAGCAGCTGAGGGGAGATGTACCTGGGGAGAAAGAAGATTAAAAGTGATTAAACGCTGAAATTCATTTATGGCTGCAACAGTTGCAAAGCCTCCGTCCCTGATTTACGACCATCCAAGCCCGTCCTAATTTCAGTCTGGGTGACACATGAGATGAGCGTCGGCGCTATACTCAGGCTTCAGGCTCTGACAGGAGAGTCACAGCGCTGTCTCCCATCTCTCACTCTTTTTTTTTTTTTTTCCTCCCACTCTCTTCATCCTCTTCTTTCTTTCATTTGTTCTACGCCGCGCCTCGGTCTGTCTGTGTGACTTTCAGACGAGAGGAGTGAACATTGTCATGCTGAGCTCGGCTTAGCACATCTCTATCAAGTATCGGTGCCCTCTGGAGAAGTGTTTCAGGGGGAAAAAAAACAGTTTATTTTGAACATCTTTTTGCCCATCTTCATCTCCCGCTGCACACACTGCCAATGGGTACGAGTAAATGTGTGCAGAGAGGGAGTATACGCAAGCAGAAACACACAGTGGGGCGTTCAAAGTCAGATGCAGCCGATTTGCGACTCATGCAGACGCACTCTCCCCTGCGTAACATTGTAAACAAAGTAAACAAACACCAAACCCTCTCCACGTTTGTAGACAAAGCTGCCAGTGCGATCCAAGCTTTCTCAGAATAAACCCGAGTCATGGAGTCGGAGTAAAAAGAGGAAAAGAGAGAGAGAGTGAGAGACACAAAGTTGGAATGTCACCTTCTGCTCCTTGGCACCTCGACTGGGAGGGCGGCGAAGAGTGCAATGGGACACGATGGGGGTCCCTCTGAACCTTAGCCTTGGGACAGATGGCAGGATCGGACCCTCAGACCTGCTAATGAGTGGGTCGTGCCAAGCGGTGTAGGACACGGGGACATGGGTCAGGTTGCTCCATCAAAGGCGTGATCTGACATGTCAACGGGGTGAGGCCACGCCTAGCTGCTTAGCCGGCGGTGACATGCCATACAGTCGCCAACGCTGGGTTTTTGGCTTGAGCCCACGTAGGAAAAAAATCTGGCTCTTCCTTCCAAAGCAGACCGATCTAAGCCACGTACTCTTTTATTTACAGACACTCTGGGTTTTATTGTGTGTTGATTTGCATAAATTACTCAGGCAAACTCCTCTAAATCCTGGATTTTACTCTTAATGAAACCATAATGAGCATCATAAATTATGATTTGAACCACAAGTTTATCAGTGAAATGTTAGCTAAGATATCAATTCAACCAAAAATAGTCATTTCCTCTTCTCTGTGTGTTACAGGGGACATCTTACTCCAACACGTGGAGTCGCCCCCTGCTGGACATGAGAAAGATAGCAGGTATGAGGCAATTTAAGACTGGCTGCATTTGTTAAACCTATGTCTAAGTTTACTTTTTGGAAGTTGTCTGTGACTTAAGGTTAAAGTGGGCAGGGCTAGCTGCTGTCAATCAAACTCAAACCACACCCCCATATTCCTGATCAGATCACCAGTTTAGATTAGAAATGTTTGAGAGAAGTTTGGCGAATTTCTAGGTGTATTAAAAGAATTTAGATTTAATTCAAGGAGATAGGACGAGATCTTTAGTCCTCATCACATGAAAAAAAAAAGTTGATTTAAGCTAACAAAATGCTACAGCAGCTGAATTCAACTTCTGCTCACTCCAACAATCAGAAAAATGATTCGTTTTGATTGAGGTGAAGTCAAGTAAACACTGAAAAGGGTTCAGAGTTTCTCCAGACGGTGAATCTTTGTGACACTGGGAAACACTGAAAGGATGTGATTTGTAGATTGTCCCCCAATTTCAAGCTGAGGGTTACTTAATGAGGCTGACAACCTAAATCTTCTCTCGTAGTAATGTTATTCGCTCCCTCTTTAATGGTTGAGACACTAGATTTCATCCAGACCATGAGCTGAATAAGGATGATTAAGACTTAGGAAAAGATTTGGGTGAAAAGGAGCAAATATTTTAGAGACAAAATGACATAACCCAGTCATCTACATACGTTTGCCTAGAGACTCCATGTAAACTTTAAAATGTAGACACAGGTCTTGTCTATTGGTGTATCAATCCACGTTTTGATAGGTATCGTAGTTTTTGATCACTCACTGTTCAATCACCATGATCAATTTTGAGATTATAATGGGTGTGTATTGCGTGGAATCTTCACGCTTGAGTGGGTGATATCATCGGCTTGATTGAGAGAAGTTGCATTAAATCGTCTGAAACTCTTCTCTTTCCACGCTTCTCCCGGCCACAAATTACTCTCTACATGCATGTTTTTTTCCACAGTTGTAGACGCACTTGTTCTGTCTCTAAAGATGTGTTTATCTAAGCAGAGAGACTTAAAGAATGTAAACACTGAGCTTCTAGGTGCGGCGATGTCTCTCTCTGCTCGTCATTGACACTAATGCAAAGATTTTCTGAGAGAGGCAGAGGGGACTCCTGTTTATAACTTGCAAGTATGTCCAAACTATTTACTGTAGAAACACCAAAATCATATCAAAGCGTTCAGAAAGTTCTTACGATGACAACAGTCTGCTTTTTTTTTCTAAAAGAAGCAGACATTTTGTCAGAATAAGCCCAAATGTGAGACTAGCACAAAGGCAGAAAATCACTCTTTTTCTGGACGTTTTGGCTGCCTCAGCCTCCGGTGCGTCTATCGTTGTGGCAACCTGTGAGCCACAGCTGAAGCCAATTCACTAATCAGGGACTGCTCTGACATCACTGCATCATTGAATCACTTTAAACGAGTTAAAGCTGACTCTCAATCAGAATACTAATTAGGGCCATAGGGGCAAACGCACAAAGGCACTGGCCCCTTTACACTCCTACCACTGGGAGTAGTTCTAACTAATCAGAATCAAATATCTGCGCATATGGGTGAGGCAGGAAATAGAGAGAAGTCTTATAATATTGCAGTTATGTTCATAATTAGCTCACTTTAACAGAAAAACTCTACATGTCTCTTACACTGAAGCTGCTTTGGGAAGAGATTTCTTCCTGAGAAACACAGAAAGAAGGGGTCACTGAATTGGCCAAAGACTGATCATGAACATTTCACACCTTAGTTTAGCTTTCGCCAAACTTATCTCCAGTGCACTGAAAGCTTAGCAACCAACAAGAAGATTGCTGCCAAAACATGTTAGTATCCAATCCCTAAACAAACACGCTAGAGTACAAGAGTCTAATCAAGACACAGCAGCTCGAGTACGCACCACATCACCCAGGATGTTCCCATCTCCTGATCTGAATATGTACTTGATTTTGAGAATTGGCACCATTTCTGTGTGTGAAAAAGAGAAACGTGTGCGTAACGCCAAACACCACAGGGAGAGTCCCTGCCAGGAAGCATTTTCACACCTCAGACATCTGCATTTTACACCTTGGCGGTGCTCGGATGGGAATCCAAATTGGTCCTTCAGTAGATACAGACTGATTGGAGAGATGTAGGCGTAGAAACACTTGAGGTCACATTGAGAGAATTTTTATCTTTAAACCCTTGACTTTAACATTTTAATCCACCAAAATGTGGAATAAATCTCTGACTCATGATACAAATGTTTCCTCTCGATTTTATTTCCAATTTGCAATTCAGATTCGAAAACGACTATTTCAGGTCCAGCTACAGCCAAAAACGCTCCTCGTTGCCCTTCATTCGTGTCTTTTGAGTATTTTTACAGTGGAGCAAAAATCATGATTTGCATTCCTTTCCATCCTGGTTATCGATCCGACCGGCGGGCTCAGATATGGGGCTGTTTTATCTGAACAAACACTTCAGCTCCGCGGTGAAAAATAGTGTGAAGCGGCAGATATTGGTGGGAGAGACAGGCTGCATCCTGGGAGCTCATTTGTAAAGAGTACAGGTGTAAGGAGAAAGAGAGGAGACAGGTAGGAACTTGTGATGGATGACGGGGGTACGCGGTGGACCGGTGACAGGAGAACATCAATAGTTAAAGAATCAGTGATGTATTGCATTTTGTAGTTTTTGCAGTTGAAGTTGAAAGTAGTTTGGGGATTGCAGCAGCCCACACCCACTGCTTTACTTTGTCATATTTAGGAGGCGTGATGCGTTTGAAACGTTATTGTCAGGCATAATCAGTCATCAGACCGCTCACTGGAGGCTTTTTTGTTCCTCCAACCAAAGAGCTGAAGGGCGGCTGATTGACAGCGCATGACAGCCCCTCATACAGGCAGCCAAACTCACAGGTCCTGCCTATTTGATAACGCACTATATAGAATGTGTGAGTTTGTGTACGCTCGCTGCGTGTGTGTGTTCGTAACCTTAATATATCCTGTTAAGTTTTGCTCAGCATGCAAAACTCCTACAGCACCAATGTCCTGCTTTACCTTCACAAATATTTACAGACTTCAGATTTTTACTTGTGTCAGCTCCAAAGAAACAGCACGAATTTTACACTCAAGGGCAGGTGAAAAAGCCTAATATTAAAGGTCAGGGCAATGTCACTGTCAACTTTTCAAACATATTAAATCTTATTGTTAGGCTCAGCCTTGGCTAAACTAAAATGAGGCATTCAAATGTATGAACCTTGGGCCTTCAATGCCACATGATCACAAACAGCACGACTTTAACTTTTGTCCATTGAGGAGATTAATACTGGCTTGATTTTCTTGAACAGAAAAAAAAAACACTATAGCAGCTAAGAATGAGCCTTTTGGATAGAAATGTGCTGCAAATCTAAAAACAATGCACATTCATTGACGTGTGCACGTCTCCAAAAACGCGCTGCAAAAAGCCAAAACACATGCAGAAACAGATGTGCAAATGTTGTGCAAGTAATGACAACAAAGAGCTCCGGGCCTCTAGGAGGTAGTGTTGTAGTCAAGACCGCACCAAACGAGACCAAGACATTACTGAGACCAGAGAGGACCAAGACCAAGACAAGACCGAGTGAAAATGCCTTCGATTATGAGACGACACCAAGACCCTCAAAAAATGGTCTCAAGACCAAGACCGATCTCGAGTACTACAACACTGCTGTATGGTAACCGTTAGCTTTCCTGTCTTTATGCTTCCTCTAATTATTGCTGAGTTGGCAGACATCTTTCATGGATAGTTCACCAGGTGCCGAGCATGAACACAGCCTCTCCTCCTGCCGTCTCCATCCTCTCTCTGGGGGGTGTGTCAGTCACTTAGACTGTGTGACAGTGGGCAGGTAACTTAGCAGCTGCAGCTGGGGGAGAATTATTGCTACCAATGATGTTAAGTTATTAGCTTGACCAGTCGCGCTAAAAAACCTGAGTGCGCTCAATCCAAGACCGAAACAAGACTGAGTGAAAATGCCTTCGATTCCGAGACGACACCAAGACCCTCAAAAATGGTCTCGAGACCAAGACCGATCTTAAGTACTACAACACTACTAGGAGGGCTGACCAGTTGAATAATGGCTGTTTTCGCCTCTGTAACACTCAAAATAAACTTTACAAGATCATTGTTTACATTAGACAGCATTTTCTTATAGTGACAGGAAGTATTGTTGGAATTACGGTGAATGGAGAGCTAATTGAGCGCCAAGCTAATGCCGCCAACAGTGCTGCTTGTTGTGGTGCTAACTTAACGTAGAGATGTAATGGATAGAAAACGGTTGACAGATGTTGTGTTTTGGTCAGTTTTGCACTTTCTGTAGTGGTATTACTGTTATGTTGTTGAAACTTTGTGTTGCTGCCATTCTTTGAAATGGGACCACCATAGTCCCCAGTGGGATGAATCTGGCTAAATACAGATCAAATAAAGAATCAACCTCTTAGACTTTACTGTATCAGGCAGAATATGTAGCTGTATGCTAACCACTTTCTGAAGCCATACCTTGGCAGTGCAGTGAGCTAACTTAAATGTCACTCTGAAATTGATAACACACTGATGTTTAGCATGTTCTCTTGCTTATTTTTGTTTCTAAGCAACTGCTAACACCTGCTAATGTGTATAGACGAGGGGGATTTGCTAGCTACCAAAACCTCAGACGCACAGTGTCTAATGGCACAACTTCATCATTGCTGTGAGAAAAAATACTGGAGTTGGAATTACATTAAGTCATAATTTTGCACAAATCTGTTCTTGTTAGTCATAGGCTTCAGTAAAAAAAAAGTCATCTTTGAGGTTAACTCCTTTCACTATGACTCAGCCACAGTCAACACATAACAAAAAATCAATTATGCCGTGATTAAAATGGTTATACAACCATTCTGTGCCATCAAAATTAAATGTAGACTGATAGCAGGAGTTAATTTTCAGCATAAGGAGGATTTAATACACACCCGAGACTCACAAAAGACAGTTTCAGGCTGACTCTCTCCAGACTCACAGGTAGTTACTTTCTGGCTTTCTCCCACTGCAGCGCCTGGGAGGAAAAACGTTCTCCTCTGCTGTATTAAAAGACTCTAAAGCATGTTTATGTCATATGCATACTTATGTGTTCATGCAAGACATAAACAGTGAAATATCCTCGTCTTGTAGTGTAGAAAACAAAGTGCAAAACATTTTTTTACTGTTACTTCATTGTTGAATTCTTTAAAACTTCACCTCTGATGGACCACAGACATTTCGGTTCGATACTTGTCACACAGCATGACATCATATGGTGAACTCAAATCTGCCTTTGCATCCTTGTTTCTGGGCAGCAAAGAGCCCGTCTGCCTCTCCTGCTATGAAACAGTGCCATCTATGGAAATATTCAGAGGCAGGCCTGAGTTTAATGCAGAAAAATCTATGACAGTCCTCCTCATAAAGTTCAGGTATTTTTACTACATACTCTCAGCTATTGAACTTCAGGCAGGATATATGGGCTGTGCAGGCATTTATTTACAAAGTTAAAAAATGAGGCTCTGTGCCAGAGCAGCTTGCTGTATATATATATATTTTTATCTGACCTGATTTAGATTTCCTCTCAGAAAGGCTCAAACAGATAGAGTAAGAGGGAGAAATTGCTCTAAAAATTAGTCATGGATAAATCCAGGGCTTATGTGACTGTAAATATCCGTCTGACAGCTGGAAATGGCACTAATATGTCAGGCTTGGCTGCTGTCAGTCATACTTAGAGGTTTCTGCTAAGGCCTGTCCCTTCAAAGCTACCTTGGGATGCATCAAAGGTTTTTTTTTTCATACGTTACTGCCGCTGAATTTTTAGGACCTGCAGAGGGGTATATCACGCTTTTCACATGGTGCATCCTAAATATGTGATATTATAATTAATGTTATTTTTCAGTATGGATTGGGAGATGAAGTTACACCATTAACTAAGACAACACGTACTGTATTTACACAGATTTACATTTATGTTTTGTCACTAAGTGAGATTTAATGTTGATAATAAGAGATTTAAATGTTACACAGAATCAAACTTTTGCAAAAAGTTATACTGTACTTATGTTTTAAACATTATCTTGACTTGTTGAAATAGATGTCAATTAAAATCCAGGATATGGGGCGCACAGTTGGCTGAGTGGCTTAGCGCGCCCCATGGGAACCATGTCCCTGCAGCGGTCGGAGACTCAAATCCGGCCCCGACCATGTGCTGCATGTCCTCCCCCCTTCTCTCTATCCCCCATATTCACTCCGTCCTGTCAATAAAGGCTAAAATCATCCAAAAAATTCAGGATATAAGTTGCACTGGTTTTGTCTGCATGGACACCTGCATTATGTTGAGTAATGTGCAGTTTCTTTAATCAAAAAGGAATTAAAGTTATAGAAAACTCTGAACTGACTTGGGTCTGACTCTTTTATAAATATCTTTCTTAAGCAACTAATTGAAAATGTTAAACTTTTTAACATAATATTTCAAGTTATTCAGATGTTATTCAAAAACAAAGTTGAGGGATGTGCAGATGGCCGAAAGGGTTAGCGCGCCCATGAATGGGGAACACCAACCCTCTTGCGGTCATGGGTTTGAGTCCAGCCCTGACCATTTGGTGCATGTCCTCCCCTCTCTCTCTGTCTCCCTACATTTGACCCTATCCTATCAATAAAGGGCGAAAATTGCCCCCAAAAAATGCTTAAAACTAAAAAAAGAACAAAGTTGAGTTAGTATGTTGTTTGAAACTTAAACCCAACTGTTTGCATAGATAGTTCACATTCGATTTAACTACTGCTTCCATGTTGATGAATTTCTTATAACATGAGGAATTGTAAAAGCTTGAATTCGTTGCCGTCTTTATCCTCACGAAAGTTTCGTCTCTTTCTTCAACCTTTCCGCCCTGCAGACTCTGAACAGAGTTCATCCAAGGTTATTCTGACTTTGCCTGAAGAAGACAGCCAGGTGGTAAGCATAGTCCCAGACAATCCCCAAGCAAGCAAGATAACAATGAACTCATCTTTCACCATTTCTGTTCCCTATTAAAAGAGAAATGTATGGGCCCAACCTTGACTGTGCGCTCTGGGAGTGAACCGGTGCCCGAGGATTCTGCAAAGCTAAGGGTTGGCTCTTGAGGGCCAACAACCTGTCAGTTTCCCTACCAATCTTAGCCCTCAATTACTGAATCAAAGGCGTGAGGAAAACCAAATCCCATCCTGTGCCCTCTGACAGGCTATCTCTCCCCGCTTGTTCACTCTCTCTAACTCGAAAGCACATGGAGCACTGCTCTTGGGAAACCTTGCAAGTGAGCTACTGGTTGTGCTCCAAAGAAGCTTCAAAGTTCGTTGCTCTTTCTCGCAGGAGCACAAATGGGGTGAGTAGCAAGTACCTCCTTACCTTTATTTTTTTTTTCCCACACACTTCTTTACATGTTGCCTAAGCTGCTCCCACATGAGTGTGCACAGATGAGACATGTCAGAGCTGTTTTCATCCCACTTCTCACAGCCTGCCCTATGAAGAAATGCACTTTTTATCTTATGTACTAAATACAAAGCCTCGTAGTGTAAGTAGTCAGAGGCTTATGTGGGTAGAAAACCTGCTGCAGTGACAGCTGGAATATGAATATGACTGACATCACTCGAATGGTTTATGTGAAATACACACCGGCTGTGAAAAGAGCCTCTTTTTATTTCTCCTGGTTACACTTTAGATTTAAGATGGATACTCTCCAGATGATTTATGCTCCGGGTAGAGGAATGAAGCGAGGATTTGCTACAACTCTCATGAGGGGAAAACTTCATAAAAACCAGTTTCAATTTAGAGGGTGAAACAAGAACGTTGTTGAATATGGTGTGCATACAAAGTCAGACACTGTCTCACTCCTCTTACCTGTTCGACATACTGAATAGTTTAAACACAGAAACCTGTAGGTGCCACTGTGGTGTCAGTTTGTTTCACCAACTCTGGTACATGAAAAAGACTTTGTGATAGGGTCCAGAGTGAGCTTGTTAGCTGATCTGATTCTTTTGGGGTATTTTTAGCTTTTATTGAGAGGAGAGAGTGAAATATTGTGAGACAGAGGCCGTTTTCAAACTGGCCTACTATACTAGCAGTACGTAGGCAAACAAATGTGAAATTTGCAAATTTGCCAAAAATACCCGGTTGACGTACTGATTTGGGAAAATTTCACAGTATGCATCAGACCAGTCTGCTTCGCCTACTGTTACCCACAATGCAAAGCGCCTGGGCAGACGGCGGAGTAGTGGAGAGCGGCGAAACTTTTCACCCGAGCATTCATTTTCCAAGAGGACAGCCAAGATTTCCTCTTCTGACAGCCTGTCTTCTCCTCCTTCTTCTTTTCACCGACAAGAATGCAATGTTTTGTGATTATACTGTACAGTTTTTATCCTCTATTTCCATCGCCTCAAATTTTCCCGCTTCTTCTCATTCGGCACGCGTGATGTGTACCATACACAGCAATGTTTACATCACACAGCTGGACAGTCAGACTGAGACGCTTAGGCAGAAGAACTACCACGTCTGCAGTGCAAAATAATTAATATGGTGATAATTACTTCAAGGAAATGATAAAGTCATGATCATAAATGTTCTTCCTTGAGCTGCGTCACCCCACTGTAGTCCGTAATGGACTGGCCTGCGGCAGCTGGCATTAGAGGGGGTCTAAGGCTTTAATGCAAAGGTGAGTAAACGTAAAAGCAGTTTGACTCAATCTGCAGCCAAGACAGTATTTGAAATAAACTGACAGGAGACAGGAGTATGTGTTAGAGGGTTTTCACTCTTGTTGTCAAATTATCAGGACAAAGGGAAATGAGACCACAACACGAAGACGCCAACAGTTAACACGTTTAGCGAGGATTGCAGCTTCTTTCATTTAAGCAGAAAACAAGGACAACATAACTTTGCTGTATTTACAGTGCCGTGATGAGAATCAAATGGCGCCAGATTGATGAATCATTGCGTAGACAGAACACGTGGGCTAAAAAATCCCTAAAAAATCAAATTGAAAACACATTAGATTTTTCAGTGCATAAATGAATGAGCAACATTGCAGTTTCGTTGCAATTTACTAGGGTACAGGTGTACTTTTCCATACTGTAAACCAGCTAAACCGGGCCAAGCATACTACATAATGATGTCCGACTTGCATACTACTATCAAACAAAGTACTTAGCATGCAGTATGTACTGTATACTGGGGTCGGCAGGAGTGGTCCCCATGTATGGGGCCCGCTAACCTGCTCGGCCATCTGCGGGCCCTAGCTGATCTGATTCTTGACCATTTTCTGATTTTCCTCTTTATCCTCTAACACACAGGGACTTCAGGCACGAAGGGTAAAGCTGAAGTGACGTCTACAACTTAGAAACGTCTTTATTGTTGATTAGACAACACTGTCTCACATCTTTTAATCATGATGATCCTTTGTAGCTGCTGCTCATTTGTCTCTCTCCAACAAGGCTGCGCATTTGGAGCACTTAAACATGTCTAATTCAAACCTCTGCAGGCTTATGAATTTTTTAAAGTCGCCTCTGCTCGAGTGTTAACTGACTAGCGTGAGCCAAAAGGCAACACTAGACAGAGTGTTTCTCTTTTTCCTGCGTTGCCTGTTTTGACTCTCCTGATTGAAAACACCTTCACTTAGCTCTGGCTGTTGTTCGTGATGAGCCGCAGTTTCCCCTTGAAAACCGAGGGAGGCGATGAATAGATTTTTAATAGATGTATCTGGCTTTCATTACTCAAGGCAGCCGGTGTGTACACAGGGCCTTGTTTTTGCAGCCTTCTAACAAGCTGCCGAGCTGCAGCGCGGAGAAAAGCTGCTTAAGTGAGAACAATTGATATTTAAGTTAACAGCATGCTGAATAAGGGGAAGCAGGAGGGCTGTTGTGTTCGGGTCCTGTGCCAAACAAAGTGATTATCGTTCTTAAGTTGTTTGGCGCCTTTATTTAGTGTTTTTATGTGTTCCTATTAGTCCCTTTAAGACAATAACTCTTAACTGTTTAATGTGGGTATCCAGCTTCCATAAGGTTATTTCCTGTCGTTCCGAATTCAACACAACACAAGCCTCTCTGTCTTTATTGACCTCATTCATATGGCTACCATTTTTCCCTTGAGGGTAGCCTCAGGTGTACTAATGTCAGTCTGTTAGATAATGAAAAATCTGAAAAACCTGGAAGTCCCTAACCAAAATGGAGTGTTGTTTACACTCAAAAATACTGTCGACTTTAAAAAAAAAAGGTCTCGTTCGAAGGGCGATTAAATAACTGGCACTGAAAGAAGTATAAAATCTAACGCTCAAGCGTGTGTTTTTTTTTTTTTTGACAAGGTAAAAATGTTTCATCACAGTCGGCTCAGAAGTCGTTATCCTTCACTGAAAACTCCCACTGTCAATAAGTGTGGATCTGTCAAGGGCAGGTGTTGATTGGAGAGATCACACACAATTTTTTTATGGCCTCAAGATACAGCATGTGTTCAGAACTACTAGAAGTGCTGAGATGAGTTACCACCCTGCTTGGACCGGATTCAGGGAAGTACTGGAGTGGAGTTTATTTTTGTGCTCCAGGTCAAAACAACAAGGACTCCTTGAACATGAAACCCTGTCTTCATGCGACTCCAGAGGTGTCGCCTTTCCCCACTTCTCCAATAAAATATACTCATATTTCCATTTTTATTTTGCTTCTATTTCAAATCTGTTTTTTTTTTTATATATTTAACCCATTGTTCTCTATGATGAGTCCTTCTCCCCCTTCATTTAGGACATTATCACAAGTTCATTTAGCTTTTTAATTAACCTTAACGGGTTTAAATCTTTATGTATAACCCTGTTAAAGGGATATTCCAGCATAAAATTAAGTTAGGGTCAAACACACTGTAACACCGAGGTAGACACCCGTCGAGAGATAATTGTTGCCAACTGCTTGCCTCTCTAGTTAAACCAACTTTAGTAATGACCGCATGATAACAATACAGAGAGCCATGTGCTCAACCAAAACACCACTCTATAGCCACAAATATTGCTCAGAACAGCACCTAATTTCATCAACAGTACATATAGGGTGTCAGTCATAGCACTAGCCACCAAACATTTTTTTTAGCTTTGCCTGATTTCTTTAGCAAAGAGACTAAACACAACTCACCCACTCTCTTCCAACAGCTTGTGTTTGTACGGATACCTCTGGGCAAGTCCATCAACTGCTGCGGCTGACGCAGCTCAAGGAAGAACATTTATCATTTCCTTGAAGTAATAATCATCATATTAATCATTTAGCACTGCAGATGCGGTAGTTCTTCTGCCTTAGCGTCTCGGTCTGATTGCATTTCCATGATGAAATGATCATAAATGTTCTTCCTTGAGCTGCATCACCCCGCTGTAGTCCGTAATGGACTAGCCCAAGGTCTCGCCACAAACAAGCAGCTGCTGGAAGAGTGTAGGTGAGTTGTGTTTAGTCTCTTTGCTAAAGAAATTAGACAAAGTTAAAAAGATGTTTGGTGGCTAGCGCTGTAGATATGACCCTATATGTACTGTTGATGAAGTTAGGTGCTGTTCTGAGCATTATTTGTGGCTACAGAGTGGCGTTTTGGTTGAGGTTTCTCTACGGCTCCTCAGACCGCTGTGTACTGCTATGGTGCAGTCATTAGTGCAGTCATTACTAAAGTTGGTATAGCTAGAAAAGCAAGCGGTTTCGGCAACATTCATCTCTCTCGAGAGTGTCTAACTCGGTGTTTTAGTGTGTTTGACCATAAATTAATTTTATGTCAGAATATCCCTTTAACAGGTTTGAATCTTTACTGTTTTTTGAGTCTAGTCTTGATTAGTTTTCATTAAACACAACATAATTAAATTATGCAATCATAGATAGATTTTTCGTCCTAGACTCTATAACATATAACCTCTTAGATACTTTTTCTAGAGACGATTGTGGTTCTCCGATTGAACATGCTCTCATACTCAGTGTTGTTGTTTTTCCCATCCTTTTCAACTACCAAACGCAACATTGCCAGCTTCATCATTGCCCTTTTTAACGAGGCGATATCCTGACACATGGGAGCAGATGTTGCAAGGAAAACACATTGTGACGTGACTGTGATCGATGCGAACCTCCCACCACATCCACTGCATAATTTGGCGGATGGCATCAGGATAACAACCTGCATTATGTGGAGACAGCTGTCGCCATGGCGCCTGGGCAGCCATTGCATTGGCTCCTGCCTTATTTCAGGGAGAGGCGGGGAAGCCAATTAGAGTGATTTACAGCTTGTTTGTGTCGTCACCACCTTGAAACCTGTGTCCCGGTCCAGCTAAAGAAAATGCATGGCTACCTGGGTGGTAATAAGGAGGGCAGCAGAGTTGTTTACCAGGGAAAGGTAACAAGTTATGCTCCAGATGGGAAATCTTTTCAGTGTAGCCGGTGTTTGTCCTGTAGGTAAAGTTAATGAGAGCTGGGGAGCGATATATGGAAAGTAATGCATCTGTGTGATGCACTGTAGAGATGATTGATATTAAAACTTCTCTTTTATCCTGCTTATTAGATCTTTTCGTTTGAATTGCATCTATTTTTGCCATCATCATTGTGCAGCCTGACTTCAACCAACATAAGTAACTTATGTGTCATTATTATGCAAAACCCTTTGTAGACAAAAATCCCCTCAGAAATAGACATACGTTATGAACGTGGACACTGCTATCTAATTTAAATGTAGAAACCTGTATGATGTAAATGAGCAGCAGCTGTAGGTTTGAAGATTGTTGCAGTAATGAATCCGATACAGTGTATTTGATGAAATGGCGAGGAAGATGGAAACCGGGAGATGGCAGGGTTGTGTGTGAAAAACAGGACGAGGACTTGTGATTGACTGTCAGGAGTAATCCTAGCCAGCTTTGAAGTGTAAATAGATAATGGGATACAGTTTGAATGTATTTGCACTTCCATCGACAGCTGTGGAGGTCACAGGAATGGCAACCTGAATCATGAGAGAGAGAGGTGCGGCAAACAGACTTGGAAGTTGGGCGGGAATAAGATCCATGGGACATGATACAGAGTATGGCAGCGTCAGACAGTCTGTCCTTGTGTCTGGGAATAAAATGACTGTGTTAACTCATAGACTCTATATGAACAACTTGGTTCTGCCTTCCCCCAGTATACGAATTTGAAGCCGAAAAACCACTTGCGCAGTAGCATTGCACTGACATTTGTTACTGGTTGTACTTGCCTTACACATCATTGCGAACTTTATGCCAAGTCTGGCTGGCCTTCTCTGCGTACTTGCAGGTACACTCACTGGATGAGGGTGCTGTTCTCAGAGTGGCTTCACCCAGCTAGGAGGCAGATGCTGTCCATTCTATGTACATTCGAGCTGGGTGAAGCCACTCCGAGAATAGCTCCCTCTGTTGATGGGCTGCAGTATAGGTCATAAATCCTGCCTCCGCAAGCAAAGCTTATGGGGCTATGGACAAACTTCAGAAATGTATTACACAGAACATAAATTTTTTTTCCCCTTGCTTGCGATGTTGACATGTAGTTATTATAAGACTGGTTTTTGTTCAAGTCTTCTTTTTCTGGGCAGCTTCGTTTTTAAAAGTCATTAGGGGGTTCATGTTTTCCATGACTGACACTTGATACAGCCTATGGGCGTACAAGGATTGCGTAGCTCACCGGGGGATATGCTGTTTGAGCCGAGCGTCATCACAGCGACTCTTGGCGACTCTCCCGCCAAATGCGCAATGTTGGTTCCAGGAAATGGAGCAAAAACGTGGAATTACCAAGAGCTTTTTGGCTTCAAATCCATATACTGGTGGAAGGTGGAACCAAGTTGTCCATAGTATATACAGTCTGTTATCTTACCTTAAAGAGCTAACTTTGTCAAAAGGAGTTAAAACATTACGTTTTTCTGACTGTTTTAAAAGAAAGTTGCCACAATTTGATCTGAAAATAAAATGTTGAAGCTCTGTCATTGGTCATTAAGAGTTCCTGTCTGTTTCTAGACCAGTTAAAAACTCCTCACTGTTCCTTTAAGTTATTAAACTATCTCAAAGTAATTGATTGCATACATAAAGCTTATATTGAAAGAATTTTGATAGCCTCTTTAAAGTTGACACAAAAATTAATAATTCCTAAAAATGATCAATAAACACAGAACAGAGCATAAATTTACACTTTTGGATAGCTATAATTAACAAAATCCACATTATGAACCTTTAAAGCAATTTAACAGTGATATCCAAATAGTGTAAATATAGTGTTTTAAAAAATAATTTATTTAATGAAAGTATTATTTACTATGTGTTCAACATGTTTAATAGCCATCCAAATAATGTTAATATATATTTTAATACACAATTTAAACAAAATCAAAAAGAAACAAACAAAAAAACCTCAGCTGCAACTTTGTAACAAATAATTTAAAAATCCAAATATCCTCCAAATAATGCAAACACAGTCCGTTCATCCAAACCTATCAATAAACAAATAAAAAATTATTAACCTTGGTTGCAAATTTGTAATCAGCATTCAAATAATGTAAAAATACATTAAACTATTTAATAAGAACTATAAATCTCGGTTAAATCTTTGAATTTGTCCCACCTGGAGATTACTTTAACCTGTATTAACCCTCCAATCGGAAACTTTGCTCATACGGGTGCTGTTCTCGGAGTGGCTTCACCCAGTGAGGAGGCAGACGGTGTCTCTTCTATACAGTCTATGGTTTAACTCAAAAGTTAGTCAGTCTAGTTTGAGTAGAAATGCTCTTTTTTTTAACTGATCCTGTAGTAAACCTTCAGTTGCTTAAAATTTAACACATTTTGGTGACTATACCTTTCCAGTTATATCCAGCTGAGTTGAAATGACACCGATCAATCTAAGTGGCGAATCAGAATTTAAAATGTCATTTATTGTCATGATTTAGACTGGAAATGTTGCTCAGAACAAATGTATTGAAGCTTGCACATGTACCACCCCATTCCACAAGATGGCGGTCATCATAAGTCACACTGGCTCCACAGTCGTCGCTTTCTTCTGACGTAATTTTCCCGCGACTTTTAATTTGATACACGGAGCAGCTGACGAGCAGAGCGTTTTCTGACAGGGTGTTTCTGAGTCCCTTCTTAAAAATGCTCAAAAAGAAGTCGAGCGGCTCTGAAAAGAAAAGGAAACACTCGCAGAGTGAGGATCGACATGACAATACGAAACGCAGAAGCGCGGAATCAAACCTGGAGGTAAGAAACCGAAGCAGCGCATGCGCGTTTATTTGTACCTCCACAGTCATGAAAGGGTTTATCAGGACTTTTACAAAATATAAATGATTTCAGCATCAAACAATGCGCTTATATATGAAAGTGAACATCTAGATTAAACGTGAACAAATAAATACAGTAAACGCAAAATAGGTGATTCAATTCTTATGTAAAATGACTAGGAATGAGCAATTTTGACTTTATGTAGGAAAGTCTGGAGGGATAAAAATATTCTATGATACTTCCTCGTCTTATTTGTGGTCAAGTTTTCAGAGTATGACCCTAGAACTTTGTCAGTCCAGGTATGGAGTATTATATCGGAGAGAAACAACAAGAGATTCTCTCTTTTAATACAAAGAGTGTTTCACATGGTTTATGTTGCACTTTTGGAGAAAAAACAGGTACCAACAGGCTATAATGGTGACTAAGACTGTTAAGATGTCTAAAAAGCATCACAACACCAGAGGGAATTGTATCAAATTCAGAGTATATATTCAGTCGGTGGAATAGGGATTGTAAAGTTGCCCAAACATCATACTATGTGTGAACCACTTTTCATTGAGCAGTGATTTATGCCTGTGTAGTGTGTCTATATTGTTTCAAATGTAACTGAAAAAAAGAAGCATTTGTTTTCTGAAAAAACTGATCATTTAAAAAAAAAAAAAATTCAACATTATAGCAGCAAAGTAAAATAAATATAAGGCAGAATTAGGACTGGGCGATAAAATGATAACAATATGGAAAATTATTTTCCCTCAACATCAGTATAAAACATGGTCAATATCCTTTTTGATAGTCGGCATTCTGCCATGTTTTGGTAGACTATAGGAATAGCCAATGAAAAGGGGAGTTGCTCTGGGTCCGCTTCGCGCTGAATCAATTATACGCTGAATTAGAACCAAGCAGATGATGGCTCACCAGATGACGACATCGTTGACAACACTGGCACGAAAACGTAATGTGCGCTGCAAATTATGTCGAGTACATGTTCTCGCAAAGTTGAGGAATACCCTAAATCTTTTTCACCACCTAAAGCAGTGCCACACAAAGAGCACGCAGAATGCAAAAGGTTACAAACCCCAAGCAGAGCAAGGAGCTCATGGCACCAGTGCAGCCAAAACAGCCGACCATTCAGTCCGCTGTCTCTAGCGCAACGCTTTACAACAAGACCTCACAGATGCAGTATCTCATTGTATTGCTAAAGACATGCTACCAATAAACACTGTTAAATTTAATTTTTTATACCGTGATGTATATCAATATCGATTGATATGAAAAAAATATATATTGTGATAAACTTTTTCCATATTGCCCAGCCCTAGGCAGAATTGACGTTGTTTAATCAAGTTTATTTTTGAAGTATTATCAAGGTGTTGTTGTTGAGTCAGCAAAATACTGCATAGGTGGATTCGCATTGAATGCTGCATGTTGGAGTTGTGTATTCGTGCTACAGCGGTTCTTCTCTTTTGATTGTGACTGTCAAGATTAAAGTATTTTAACTCTGCACACAGCTCTTTTACTGTCCGTATGAAAAACACTACAAGCTTGCTCTTTTTAAGTTGATTAGAGAAAGGGGTGTGGATCGTTCTTGTTAGTGTTAGTGGCCTTACTGTAATTTGTGTCTTGGCAGTACATCTTTGAGGAGATAGTTGGATGCAGGCAGTTTTTTTCTGGCTCTGTACACTTTTAATCAACTGAAATGCAAGTTCCTGTTAAAATCCATATTAAATACAGGATATGTAGTATTTATTTCAAAAGAAAGTTATGGCAAAGACAGATTTAAGAAAGAAGTTCTTATCGAAGAGGAATTACTTTCTTCATAAGCAGATTAAGTATTCGACATTAGACCCTGAACTGGCAGTGTTGGGTTGCAAATATTTGTATTCCTATAAATCACCTTTTATGCCAATGGTAATACTTTAAAAGTCAGAGTTGCTATATTTCATAGGATATATAAACTGCAGCAATCTGTCGTTATCATCCTTTTTGTCGAGCAATTGTGATTTAGACCTTCAGAAGAACTGTTCCTCAGTAGTGTCTTCATTTCCTACAGCAGGACTCCAAGGATGAGCTGGCTGATCCAGAGCTGGACCGGATTGGCAGCGACATAGAAGACGGGGGACTAGACCTCACTTTGCCGTTCAAACCCATCACCGCTTACATCGGCGACAAGAAGGAGATGCTGGAGCAGTGTTTCCGTGTGCTGGGGGACAAGAAGCTTTGCAAGATGCTACCTGATGAACTTAAGGTGCGTGTGTGTGTGTGTGTGTGTTCTCATGTGAACAATATCAACATGTCAAAAGGCTTTAGTGTGAAATGTTTTCACCTCAAACCAGTCTGTTAAAATAATGCTCAAAGTCTAACTGAGCAGTTGAAGCTCTGGACCTCCACAAATGTCACTTTTTAAGATGTGCGCTCATAAAATACTTACAGTAATTTCCCGTTTGCTGTTGTGCTGTATTTTGAACGACTATAAGCAGATTGAAGAAGCAAATATATAAGCAGCAACACGTTGAATGTAGTGATCATGTCATGAGCAGGTTTGTTCCATCTTTCTACTCCCCACATTCTTGGTTATTGGGGCGCACAGAAGATATCACATTGTTTCACTTTATGTTGTTTGAATTTAAAGGGATATTCCGGCGTACAATTAATTAAGGGTCAAACACACTATAACACTGAGTTACACACCCCTTTGAGAGATGAATGTTGCCAACCGCTTGCTTCTTTAGTTAAACCAACTTTAGTAACGACCACAGGATAGCAATACACAGCGGTCTGAGGAGCCACATAAACCTCAACCAAAACGCCACTCTATAGCCACAAATAATGCTCAGAACAACACCTAACTTCATCAACAGTACATATAGGGTCCTGGCCATAGCACTAGCCACCAAACATCTTTTTAACTTTGCCTGATTTCTTTAGGAAAGAGAGTAAACACAACTCACCTCCTCTCTTCCAGCAGTCACTTGTTTGTAGCGAGACCTCAGACCAGCCCATTACAGACTACAGCGGAGTGACGCAGCTCAAGGAAGAACAGAGAAAAGTGTCACTCCGCTGTAGTCTGTGATGGTCTCGCGCGAGGTCTCGCTACAAACAAGTGTCTGCTGGAAGAGAGAAGGTGAGTTGTGTTTACTCTCTTTCCCACTCGGAGGGGTGCTCGCCCGGGGAGTAATTTGGTCTAGAACCGCCACTGGCTCCTCAGACCGCTGTGTATTGCTATCATGCGGTTGTTACTAAAGTTGGTATAACTAGAGAAGCAAGCAGTCAGCAACATTCATCTCTTGAGGGGGTGTCTAACTCGGTGTTATGGTGTGTTTGACCATAACCTAATTTTACGCCGGAATATCCCTTTAATGTCATCCATGCTGCACTTTCTGGATCATTCTTAAGACATCTTTTAAATAGATAGAAGATAGCTTTTGCCGCCACGAAACACTGGGTGCTTTGCTGCTCATCTATAGCTGTAAATAAGCTATGGATCCGTATAGTCAAAAATGAAAGCAAGGTTTAAGGATGTCAGCTGTAGAAAGTTGTCATTTTCAATTGAAGACAAATAGAGAAATCTTGCTGTATCGCTGTGTTATCAAAGACCCGATTTAAACACATTATCATTCACAGGACTGCAGTTCAGAGGAAATCAAAAAGCTGTGCTGGGAGCAACTGGAGCCCATCTCTGACAAGAATCTTCTCCAGATCTTAGCAGGTAAGACTTTTAACCCTGATACTTACTTCAACTCTCTTCAGCATCTTTGTAAAGGGCAAATCAAATCAGATTTTTTTAAACTTTCTTTGTTTTTAGGGGAAGAAGTGACGTCTGGGGATGGTAACAGGAACACAGAGGAGACCGCAGACAGCCAGTGAGTAAAAGTTTGAAATCTAAGAGTAAAAGTCAAGTGAGTTTTTAGTCTTTTCTACATGGAATTATGTGTTTTTCAAATTTTACTCTCATCAAGGCAGGACAATAATGTGGACTCTACGTCTTGCCTCAAAGAAACAACAAAAACTGAAGACCCAAAGCAAGGTAATTAGTATGTAATTCACACAAAGAACATCCCCAGGCTGCAAATCAAAGACTTCAAAGACAAAAGGTATAAAAAGAGTATTTTATGTGAAAATGTTTCCGTGTAATTTTCTTCTCAGAGGGGGGCGGCTCAGGAGAGGAGAGTGACGTCTTGAGCATAAACGCAGATGCTTACGACAGCGACATAGAGGGACCCAAAGATGAGCAGGCGATAAAGGCTGTAGACGCAGGAGCGAAAGTGGCGGACAGCAGCAAGGAAGGTGCTGACCCCGCTGTAAACCCTGACCCGGCAAACCCTGAACCCCGCACAGACTCTAAACCAGAGGAAGGGAAGAAAGACATCCAGAGCGACATAGACAAAAGCGTGAGCGAGATTTTATCATTTTCATCCACATCCACGAGGACGGACGCAATCACAGAACAGACCGCAGCTCCGCAGCCGAAAGTTTCGAGTCCACCTGTTCAGAGCGGATCCGTTTCAGGTCGCGCAGCTGCAGCGTGTCAGCCGTCGATTCAGCAGCTGGAGCTCCTGGAGTTGGAAATGAGAGCGAGGGCGATTAAGGCTCTGATGAAAGCAAGTGATGGGAAAAAGACAAATTTAACAAAAACTCTGTAGCGTGTTTTATTTTTCGTTTTTTTACATCGTGTCTTTTATGGTTTGATGGTTTAGGGCCTGTGTCCACTGACAGCATTCGAAAAGGTGGTAACTCTGCACTCAACTGGTTTTAGTTCACACATTTTATCCCAGGGCACTCCCTCTCTTTCTCACTCATTGGTCTGTTCAGATTTGCTTCTATTAAAGGTAAATTTACAAACAAACATAAAAATGACTTAAAGGAATTGTGCTGTGGCGTTACAGCAGCTCAAATGTGGAAATAGTCCCCTTTGTTAAAGTTGTCAACATTAGAGGTCCCGCCCCTTTTTGATCTTGAAGTAACATTGACACAGGTCCCTATTTTTTTTTAAAGAATCATACATATGGAACCTTTTTGATTGTCTTGAAAATCATTCAAACCATGTTCAGTTTTTACTCCATATTGGAATAATAATTTTAATTTTTTTAGTGCTTATTAAACTCACAAGGACTTGTCTGATTGAATCTCATCTCCTGTGACTCTTTTCTACACAAACTCCTCTCTTTGGTCACTAGATGGCAGTGTTTACCTGCCACAGTCGAGCCCTGATGATGTTTTTAATCTCTGCAGAAAAGAGGGTGTCATGATTTATTCGCTCACATTACAGTCAAAATATTAAAGAAGACGACGTACATTTCAGTGACTGTTTAGTTAATCTGTTTAACTGAAACGTGTGACATTTTCGAACATGTTGGAGCCACATGGCGTGAGGAAAAAACAGAAGGAAATGTTTCTTTGTAGTCTGGCTGAGTAGGAGGCAGCAGTGTTTTGCTGTCATTCAAAGCTGGCACACCTGCTCTGTTTGTTGACTGAACACCTGTTTGACTCTGCAGGCTGAAGTTTGTCCTGCAGTCTCCAAACCGGGTTAAACCTGAAATATGAAAATCAAAATTATAGCCATAAAACCGCACTCTGTTTTTGCTCACTTTAACGTTTACTAAACTTGACTCTTTATGGTGTTTTCTTGCGGGATAAAGCTTCACTTTGTTCCGAGGCTGCTTTGTTGCTTGAATAAACTGTACAGCTGCTCTATATATGCCTTTACATGCAGAAGCAGAACATAACAGCAAACCTCCCCCCTTTACCATAATGGACACAATGACATGTATTATAGGAAACCATGTGTATTTGCATTTAAAAGGGTTATTTTATGGGAGGAAAGTGGCTTTAGTGGGAGGGTTAAGTGCATCATTCTTTATGTATTTATGTATAGATGTCTTTGCACTTATTGATGATTTGAAGAGGAAAACGTCCACTTAGGATTAAAAGGATTCAATGATCCTAAAGTGGTGGTGGCGTCGATGATTGGTGAGTATTTATCGGTATTTATCAGTGTCATTTTAGCTCTGTCAGAACGCCAATTATCACTCGGCGTGAGCAGATAAATGGCTTTTAAAGCAGACCTCAAATGAGTGGGCTGAGCGTGGATTGACAGAGATGAGATGGTACCTTACAAGATTGAGGTTTCTGGGATAAATGAACAGCTGCCCTGTTATCAGGATGAAAAATAACGCTGTAAAAGTTCCTTTAGCTCACAGTTTATACATGTCATTTTCCTTGAGTTTTGAAAGCCACTGGTTATGAATGCTCTCAAAACTCAAAGGTGGTTTACACCTCAACTTAAATATTAACTCTTTCCCTGTCGTCAGAGATCCTACTGGAGCTAGTTAATGTCTCAGATTATTCTATCAAGAAAGGCCAGTTGTCTGATGATGAGTTCCCATCCTTTCTATATCTGCACTGCAAATACTCCAGAGGTATAACTAAACCCAAAAGATGTAACAAGACCAGGTGCGAAGTCCTAATTGAAAGACTTGGGAGAATGTTCATATTTTTCTTCTATTAGTTCACTCTGTGCATATATAGGCTTCTCTTCCTGACAGTGTAAACAACACATTTAACTCAACACGTCTTAGTGAGCGCTCGTGCAGCATCTCTTTGTGCACGCATGCAGCCTGTGTATGTCTTGAGTGGGCAAGTGATTGTTTTTTTCCCCCCAGCTCAGTACTCACGAGCAAGTTTTTCTTTTTCTTTCTGGAAAGTGCTGATGCAATTGTCTGCTGAAGCCTTTACTGTTACTGCACCCACCACTAAAACTCCTGCTGTTTTGAGGCCCCCCGTATGGATTGAGTTGTAAACACCAACGTCCCCCGGAGGCCTGTAGGTCACGGAACAATGCTAGCAGTGTAGCTTGCACACTATCAGCTGAGTGCCGACTGTCAGGATCTGGATACTGTGAGAGAGCTTGGTTAGCTAACAGAGGTGTGTGCATGTAAACATTAATGTTTAGACTCATTGTTGTGACTGTGTCATGTGCAGCAACAGTAAGGTGACCAGATTTCTGTAATGAAATCCAGAAACATTCAGTGGAGGGGCTGCGGCACCGGCTGAGTGGTCACAGGCAACAACTCAGTATTACTCAGTAGCAGCACATGCCCCCCCGTAAAAACTGCTGGTCAAGACTGCGCGCAACATGCTTACTCCCGCTTCCTACCTACTCGGCTACCGTAATAACCGTTGTTCTAGTCCACACGCAACGTTTTTTTTTCTCATTCATGAAACGCTTAAAGGGATATTCCTGCGTAAAATAAATTTAGGGTCAAACAAACCGTAACACCGAGTTAGACACCCCTCAAGAGATGATTGTTGCAGACGGTTTGCTTCTCCAGTTATACCAATTTAAGAACGACTGCATGATAGCAATACACAGCGGTCTGTGGAGCCACACACAAACCTCAACCAAAACGCCACTCTATAGCCACAAATAATGCTCAGAACAGCACCTAACTTCATCAACAGTACATATGGGGTCCCAGCCAGAGTACTAGCCACCAAACATCTTTTTAGCTTTGGCTGATTTCTTCAGCAAAGAGACTAAATACAACTCACCTACTCTCTTCCAGCACACCACTTGTTTGTAGCGAGACCTCGGGCCAGTCCATTACAGACTACAGTGGGGTGCTGCAGCTCAAGGAAGACCATTTACGATCATTTCTTTATCATTTCCTTGAAGTAATAATCACCATATTAATCATTTTGCACTGCAGACGCAGTAGTTCTTCTGCCTTAGCGTCTCGGTCTGATTGCATTTCCATGAAGAAATGATCATAAATGTTCTTCCTTGAGCTGCGTCACCCCGGAGCAGTCTGTAATGGACTGGCCTGAGGTCTCGCCACAAACAAGCGGTTGCTGGAAGAGAGTGGGTGAGTTGTGTTTAGTCTCTTTGCTAAAGAAATCAGGCAAAGCTAAAAAGATGTTTGGTGGCTAGTGCTATGGCTAGGACCCTATATGTACTGTTGATGAAGTTAGGTGCTGTTCTGAGCATTATTTGTGGCTATAGAGTGGCGTTTTGGTTGAGGTTCGTGTGTTGCTCTTGAGACCGCTGTGTATTGCTATCGTACGGTCATTACTAAAGTTGGTATAACTACAGAAGGGGTACAAGGGGTAGTCTAACTCGGCGTTATGGTGTGTTTGACCATAACTCAATTTTACGCCGGAATATCCCTTTAAATCTGGGACATTTCCGAGGACAGGTCATCCAAAATGGGGACTGTCCATTGAAATTGGGGACGTCTAATCACCTTTAGCAACAGGGCTAACTCTACTACCACCCTGTTGACGTTAGCTTAGCTGCACTTGACCCTGATATTATCACATGCCTAAATTGTTAAAGATTTACGACACATTTTATGGACATGCTTCAATTTCCTGTTTGTTTTCTTGTTGCTGGCTAGAAAACGATTGAAGCAGAGGCATGAGAAATTGTGGACAAAGATAAACTGTCAGTCCTGAATAAATCTGGATTTGAGCACATTACCACAGGGAATCACCGTAGGAATGAAAAACAGTGATTGAAAAATGCTGTCATTATTTTAGGAACGCATCCTGTTTTGCATAAATAAAGTAATTCTCCTTAAATTTCCTCTGCAGTGTCTCTGCTCCTTCTGCAGCGAGAAATTAAATTGAACTAACAGCTCCTGCTGACAGGCAATAAATAACTTAGCACCTCTGTATGACTAAATGAATTGATTTCCCCGAGCAGTGACTCATTGGACACATTTCATTTTCTTCAAGTTTTTCGACTGTTTTTCTCAACAACGTAGAGATGTTTAATGATAGATGTGGTTTGTTTTGATTCTTTCCTATTCTTCGTTTGACAGCCATTTTGTGGATTGCTGAAAATGTGGGCATAAAAAAAAAAGTCGACTGCCTTTAAAGGAGAGATTAGCGAAGGAAATGGTGGGTAGAGACAATAACTTGTTCGAGGTGTTGCATTTGAGCGGTGGTTTTACAGTTGGCATTTTGGACTCGAAAAGTGGATCCTTTTGTTCCCTCAAATGGAGAAGGAGACAGTTGTTACAGTCGCAGATGTGCTGTACATCTGTTCACTATTCACTTCATTTGGGTGGATAAATGCTCGTTTTTCTCCAATATGCACAAGCTTGGCTGCATCCTTTTTTGAAAAATGTGAAGTGGATGATTGTAAGCTTTGTGCTTTTTGGAAGAGAAGAGCTCCTTTTTTAGTCACATCACAAAATCCCTGAAAGAGATTCAAACATTTGATATTCCACTCCAGTGTAGTATCTGCATTTTGAGAAAATTCCTCCCCTCCACTGACTCCTCTGACATCTGACTTTCATATTCAATGCGAGCGCTCTCCCCGCATGGGTTTCCCCCTCCCCTTCACTCCGGGGTCTGCATTTAAATGGTGCATTAATACCATCAAACAAGCATTGAAATTCTGGCGTGTAGACCCGCGAGCCAATAAAGCAAAATGCTTTTGAAGGATATCGGAGACATCAGGCAGGGATGGATGACCTCGCACAATCAAATCAGCATAATCAAATCAAATATCACAATATTACATCAAAGCCAACTCCCGACGCGACAGCAACTGCAACATGATCAACAAGCTCAATCCTCGGGGTATCGGTGCTTTCACACACAAATATTGTGTTGGAAAGCCTGAAGTGAATATATTTAACAACTAATGGAGTATTGTGTGGCTTTTAAATGCCCATGTAATCTATGGTTAATCTTTAATTAGTAAACATGAATGATTCCCATTGACATAAATATGCAGACTGCAAAGCTAATCTATAATGGAATTCAAAGATTTAGCTCTCCTTTGAGAATTAAGGATGATGGCACCCAAGATAATTATGAAAGCATCGGATTATATTTCTTCTTCTGCATCAATAATGCAAAACACTCTGAAGCTAATTAGAGTGTAATAACTTTAAAAAGGCTTTCATGTCAAATTTAATACACATCACTTTTAGAAAAAGAAAAAAAAATCAGTCACCACGCCCAGTGCAAACAAGTCCAACAAGACTAAAGTAACGGCTTACTTTTGGAGTCTTTTTTTATGCATACTGCTACGTTGTGTTAAATGCTTGATTCTGATTGGTCAAAACCCCAAAACAAAGGTCAACAATTCCCAACAGCATGAGCAACACTGCATTATATCATAAAGGAGTTAATATTACCTCAACTTGTCAACACCGTGCAAAAAATGTTAGTGTCCACTTAAACTATGTAGTTTAACAATGAGGATTTTCTAACATGGGATCATGTCCTGCAATCTGGGCCACAGCAGCAGAGCTAGTGAGTGCATTTTCGAGTTAAGACGCTATCATCAAGCTTCAACTAAAGTTTACCTTGAATGGAAACACTTGGTTGAGTGAGAAACATGACAAATAATCAGTCTCAGGCCTTTTGTGTTTACGTTTGTGCTCAAATTAGATGACTCAGCATTGATAAAGCTCATTTCTGCCACATTAAAAGAAAAGAAAAGACAGATCAGTATAAAAGATACGAAACGTGATAACATGGAGCAGTCATAGGTCTAATGTGATGGCTTGTATTGTTAATACTAATCATGTTTCACTCATTCACTCCATAAGATAGTCTCAGGTGTGTATCATAGACAAACAAATTTGGGATCTGGATGATGTAGCTTGTTTCCATGGAGCCTTTTATCACGACTCAATATATACAATAGTTATAATATCTGCAAAACTATATCTCAT